ACCGGAATGAAATATAGATGCCTTAATATTTCGGCGGTGTCTTTATCGTAACGAATGTCCTTTAATGGCGAGTCACAGCTTTTTTCAAGTAACCAACATTCAGAGGATTAACCTGGGAGGAATTTTCAGTCATTACTACCATACAGTGTAGACCCGATTTTAATCCATTAACGATCAGTAACGATTTTAACTATAAAGGCACTGAATATCAAACCCAGGCACCACGCGTATATGTAGCCGATTTTAAGCTAGCACACCTCGCGCATTAGGACGCGAATCAAGTTTGCATCGTCGGTCATGACTAGCTTGTGCGTTTTAGTCTGGTTACCGGCTTCGTTTAAAGGGGGAGTTATATGATTTTGACACGGGATTTATATCAATATGTTTTTCAACTAAGTTTTTGTTTAATAAAGGGAGTTTTACATGGAGTTTTAAATTGAAATAGCCACCTCGAAAAGCTTTCCGTGCTGTTCACAATCCGCCCCTTAAGACCAAAGTCCCTCTAGTTTCTGAGCTACACGCCCGCGAAAATGGGGAAAAATATGGCGGGGAGAGTATTTCAGAATCAACTTGGCGCTCGTGACGTCATAATATCATTCATATCCTGCCATTCCATAACCCATGCGCCGAACAAGGCCAAGGAACATGCAATTGTCGAGGCCTTAATATCTGGCGTTTGTTATAACCGGCATTTTTACATTAGAACTGATGCTCTCTTCAGTATCGTCCAATGTGAAACATTCCCTTTACGAATGGATTCACTTATTTTTCTGTCTGGATGGTCCTGTGCTTTGCAGACGACTTTGGGCTCCAAAAAGAAGACAGGCTCCGTATCTCTCTGGATTTCAGCCTGGGTGTGCTTTTGTCAAAAAGGGTCACCAGGAATTCCCATTACCCAAAAGCAAAGCCCATGTTTTGTTTATGCTCCTTCTTTTTCACTACTTGATGCATTGTTTAGAGCCCTGTGAAACGTGTTACGAATTATGTTGTGCTTGGTGTAAATTAAATGCGCAAGGTTCGGAGCGCAGAAGTTCCTAATTGATTTCTGATTTGCTTTTCATTTAAGTTGTTTTTAGTTACATTTCACCATTTTATTTGTTTCATTCACCTATTTTTATTCATTAAAAACTAACTAATTGAACTAACTCCTGAAAGTACGACCTGATGACCTACCTAGTTAAATGGAGCATGTTATGAATTAGATCGTGCTTAGTGAAAGCTGGATGCCCAGATTCGCAGTGCAGAATTATACGAGAGTTTGTGTTTGATAAAGAGCTTTGGTTTAACGTGGTGCGGTTGCTCTTTTTCCACCGTCAATAGTATGTCCAAGTATCGGACCCTTTGCCGTACCCTGCATGCTCCATCGTAGTCTAAATTGGAATGCTTCCGTACTCCACAAAAAATCAAGGGTATACTTCTCGCGCGTCGAGGCCCCAGCATAATCATCGATGTAGGCGGCTAAGAAAGTTAATTTCAATGACCTGGCAGCCGGAGTTTTCGTTTCAAATTGGTTTCACGCCATTAGTGCTACATCAAAATTTCTGCCGACAGGAGTGCTACGACCTCACATCTGTAGATGCTTAAACGCGACCTTAGTGCTAATGAATACTAGCATCAATGTGTTTGAACTGCTGCGCATAATTTCAAACATTAGTGTTATGCGACAAAGCTTACTCTGCAAAAACATATACCTTTCATTTTCTCCACCGCAAGAATTTATACCGTTATTACGTATTCACGACCTTGCTTTTGCTGCAAAGACTTATCCTCGGTATTAGTGTTACAGGACGAAACCTATGCTTTAAGAATGTATGCACGTCATTTCTTCCGCTGGAAAAATATACACAGCTATTACTTATACCGGACTTAACTTCTCCCGCAAACACCTATATACGAAATAAGTGCTACACTATAAAACGTATATTTCAAAAATGTATAGCGGTCATTACTTATACTGCAAAACCTTTCACCATCAGTGCTCTACACGGCATGTCGTCTACTGGAAAGACTTAAGCGCGCCATTAGTGCCACAGCAAGCACTTATGATAAAACTTTTGCTCTACAAGTGATAACAGGTAAATGTTTTTTGCAGTGTAAGTTTCGTTGTATAGCTCTTATATCTTGCATGCATTTTAACAGCAGTTATTATCACGCGTCATACAAGTTTTTGCCGTGTAGGTAATGGCGTGTATGCCTGATTTGTGGCACTTTTGTCGTGACTCCCTTTAAATGAGTCTTAAATATGATTACAAGACACCAAATAACTCCGTTTAATCAACAGTTTCGTTAGTACCACAAAATCTCGCGAGCTCTGTTTAAAAAAGTTTCGTTATTATCACAGGTGATTCCACTTAAGCAGTCACATGCCTTGCACCAATGACACTACATCGGCATGCTAGGGATCTCATTTGCTCTCATATCTTCCAGAAAGCACAAAAATTGCTCTCACGCCTCCGCCTATGCATAGGCCCTTTACAGACCAGTTTTGTTTGGGATAAATTCCCCGCTCACGACTCGAGATATGCGTCCTGCTGGATACATGACTATAGCTGTGATATCACTGGCAGTAAGCTGAAGATCGGAAAGATTCAACCTAATGTTTCTCCGTCCGTCCCCTCGGGGTCCGCGTTGCAATACCTCGAGAAAAGCAGCTTGTCGATGTTCTTGTCTCGAGCATTTCGTTTACTAATGGGACGCATAGCTCTTAACCTCTTTGCCGAAAGACCTTGAAAAATATGTCGAACAAAAAATAGGTGTCTTCTGACATCTCACAGAACGTCATCGTGTACCGTGCGTCCCGCGTTCCGCCGCCTATAACCTGTATTATTTCTTTGCAATTTTCTTTCGGCCATACCGGGGTGAAATGGACCGCTGAGAGCTGTTTTAAGTGCTCCGATAGCAGACGTTTTCGCACGTGAGCTGTTCAAGAGCAAGGTTCGTTGTCCGTTATAGGTCTGCATTTCTTGAGGTTTCGAATTCTGATATTGCACCCCCTTCCCTTACGACCCAGTGGTGTTTCAACGCGCGCTTTCAATTGTCAAACGTGTTACAACGCACGTAGTCGACAGTCTTGCGGCCGGACAAGGCGCGCAAGAGCGGCAATAGTTCAGGTGCTTGGAATGTGGGATTGTATCACCGCTGTTTGCAATTAGGATTGTCCTCTCGGTCTTGAAAATAAGAATAATAAATCGGTTTGCAGTGGGCCCAAGTTCCATAAAAAACGCGTGCCAACCCATCCAAACACCATTGTGAGTGAGGCCGTAAACTAAGCGAGCCTCACCGTCCACTGGACGAAAATTGCGTAGTTTTAGCTCCCAGACCCAGTCATTTACGCTTTTGATATGGCTAGCTTTGCACTTAATAGTTGCTGGATCGTGCAAGTGTCAGAAAGAACACTTTAAAATAGCTTTCCTGGGATATATCCAAAATGTGCACGCGTGATTTTTATCATCTGAGGGCTGAGATGCAGCATAATGGGTCATGTAAATGACGTCAGCGGTTGCAATCGTTAGATGACACGATTTCCTCAGAAACTGGTGGCGAATGATAGCTATCAAAAGGGGAAAACACAGAACCAGAAGCCATCACATGTCCTCAAAGCAAGCGAAATTCAGTTTTTTTCTGCTGAAAGACCTTTGCTCTGGCGATTTCCCAGCCTTCTACCGATATCAAAAGTCAAATTATCAACAGACGCTTTCAGTGAAGCCGGTTTCAGTGAAAAACCTCAACATCAGACACCAAAAAGGTTTTCATTGCGGTTTTCAACATTTCACAAATCACACGGGCGCATTATAGGACCCACGCCACCCTCCGACTACGCCATTGACCTCAGAGGTGCTCATACATCACCCTCCGCCGTCAGCCTTCCGCTGACCTCGGAAGCATGCTCGCCGTTGGCGAAAAGCATGTTTGCCACCCCGTGTTATGGTGTTCGGCGATGATTAATGACAGCCGCAGGGGGCTACGCAGTGGAAGCGCACTTTTTTGACACAAATGCGGTTCAAGGCTGGTATGAACGGATGCTCAACAGTCGGTGGTCTGCGCATGATCTTCATGGGGATGATTGTCAAACTTGATCTGCATTGCGTCCAATGCAGGCGTTTTCATCGCTGGCGGGCCTTTAAACGCGCTCACGCAAGATTGAGTGAGTGGTGCTCAAATTGGCTGAACGATTGTTTAAAACGGTCCTTTCCGAAGGAGCTCTTGGTGGAATGAGCGCATAAACCAAAATTATAACATGTGAAAGGAAACACCACATATTTGGGAAAGGTGCACAATTGTGCCCGGGAACACAAAACTTTTAAAACACGTGCTGCATAATTAAGTGTGAAGCTCCAGCCTTTCATAGCGCCCACCTCGCCTCAATGCGAACACCACGCTGAGCTGTAGAGAACTGCGACATCAAGAGGCCCACTTCGCGCACCACAAATTCGTGGCAGGATCGAACGAGTCGCGAACAAAATATATCGTCAATGGTTATAAATACTAAGCATAATTTTTTCATAACACTGCTTCCGTTGATGCGGGTTGATTTTTTGCCTGTCAGGGAGCGCACAATTTCTTGCCATAAAGGGTTCAGCTAGTCATGATAATCGACCTGGCCTACGCAAATGCCATTACCTAGTCGGTGTGCTTCAAGTTTAATATCTTTGATGCGTACTCCACGATTTTGAGTTCTGGTAGCAAGCTTCATATGTCCTCTAAACTCTGCTTTGTTTTGGGTTATTTGCTGTATGTTTTGACATCATTTGGCCAGGTTTTCAGCATCTTCCTGAGTGCACTAAATTATATTATTCTGCCACGACGTTCAATAGGTAAATGAATGCAAATCACTTTTCGTTTACTTCCTCAAATGTAACTTACCCGGCTAGTTACCGTAACTAACCAGGTACGTTTGAAGAATCATTGACATGGATTATATCCCATACACGTCATGTTCACATGTGTAATCAGAGCGCCCTGCGGGTGCGCCCACTGAGACGCCGCTACAGCCAGCTCACGAATCGTCAGCGCCCTGGCACGCCTCATTGGTGCGGCTGCGTTCGGCGGTCGGTGCGGCGGACACCGGCTGCCCATCTACATCGGCCACCGTCTCCGGCATCGGGCGGCCGTTGGTCTCGGGCAGGAGCAGGCCGGCGAGGCCGCCCAGCAGGGCGAGGCCGGCGAACACGGCCGACGGCGCGCTCTCGTGCAGCTCACTCACCAAGTCCACCACGAACGGCGAGAGGGCGGCGCCCACTCGCGACGCCAGCTGCCGCAGGCCGCACGCCAGCGAGCGGACCTCAGTGGGCATCAGTTCGGCAGTGAACACCACTATCGTGTTAAAGGCGGAGGATGCGCCGATCTTGGCAACCACGCCAAGTACCAGCCAGAGCGTGGTGTCCTTCTGCACGAAGGTGAGTAACATGGCGGCGGCCTGCAGCGAGAGGAGGAGGATCAGCGAGCGTCGCCGTCCCAGCCGGTCCAGAAGGGGAAACACTAAGCTGGAGGGAATGTCGGCGAGACCGGAAAACACCGCTGCCAAATGCGGGCTCGCCGCCAGTTGCGTCGTGTCGAACGAGATACCGAAGTAGGAGCCGGCGATGATGAAGCCGAGAAAGACGGCGATGAGTGTTCGGCGACGCATGTGCGGCGTCCGGACCAGCTGCAGCATCATTTGCAGCGGACTGTGGCCGCCGGCGGTCTTCATAGTGGTCTGGCGGGACAGCATGTCGTTCCGCGCCTCCGCCATCAGCTGCAGCACCTCCTCCTCTGGCAGCACCCGGCGGCCGTTCCAGCGCGCGCCCCGGCGCAGCACGGCACACGCCTCCGGGAACCGGCCCTGCAGCACCAGCCAGCGGGGCGACTCGGGCATCAGCCAGAAGTTGAACAGGAAGATAAGACACGGCACGGCGTACGCCAGCTGGAGCAGCCATCTCGTGCGGATCAGGTACGAGCCGAGCGCGACGAAGCAGGTGCCAAAGGCGAATGGCATGATTGAGACGATACCGATCGCGGCGCGCCGCTCGCTGCTGCACAGCTCCAGAACCAGCACGTACTGGCTGCTGATCATGGCCGACGTGGCGACGCCCGTCAGGAAGCGCACGGCCGCGAAGCTGGCGTAGTCGGTGACGAGCGCGACGGTGAACGCACAGGCGATCAGCAGCAGCATGGCGGGCAGGAAGACGGGCCGCCGGCCGAAGCGATCGGCCAGCTGGCCGCTCGCCACCGAGCCGAACAGGCCGCCGATCATCAGCCACGTCTGCAGCAGTGAGAGCAGCGGCTTGCGGCCGCACACCAGCGTCCACTCAGTCACCACCGTCGACACGTACACGGAAGGGTCGAACGCCCAGCGCTGACAGGCGGCCGTCGAGTTGGCCGCGTGGCAGCGCGGTGTATCGGACGGCAGAGTGGCGAAAGTGACGTTGGCGGCGAAGCCGTCGGCGCATCTAAACTTGGGCGTGGCGCCGACGAACATCATGGACATGGAGAAGACGGGGAAGAGCAGCCACATGACAGACATGTACCCGATGAGCAGCGTTTGCCAGCGGCCGGTGCCGCAGCACCGCTCCAGCACGTCCTCGAAGAGCACCTCCGTCTTCTGCTCGGACTTCTCCTCGGCCTTGCCGCTCTCTGCCGTATCCGCCATCGCGACAGCTTACTTGGTCACGAGCACTCCCAGCGGTGTCCGCGTGCGTCGGGCTCAGCGACGTGTCACGCTCCTCTCGGCGCACTCCGTGATCCTGGCCCTCGCACACGGTATGCTCGCGGAGACTCCGCGCTCCGTCGCCGCACCGCCGGACAGGCGCGCGTACTTCACGTCCGTCGCGTTACTGGTCGGCAGAACCTGCCTCTGCCACCCAACGAAGGCGAGTGGCCTTACAGCGCCGTTTGGCCGGGCGCCGCGACACGTCCGACCGGCCTCATTGGCGCCAGCCGCACGGCAGCGGCCGTTTACGGAACCTCCTCCAGATGCACTTGCCACGCTGCTGTTCTGGAAATATAGATGTGCGCGCGCGCCCACTGTGCAATGTGCATACGTTTGGAGCGGTAGCCGAAGTTAAGAACGGGTACAGCAACTGTAAACCTCTCCCAGTTCCCGCAAAGCTTAACCAACTTGTGTGAAGTAAAAAGAAAAAAATATAATAAATAAAGTATAAAATAAAAATATCAATAAGTAAATAAACACAAGCGCCCATACGTTTACGCGCAAAGAGGACGGGTACTTATGTGAGGTTTTTAGCGTGCATATTGCCCATAAAGTAAAAATGTATATAAAGTAAATAAGTGCAAGTTTGTTTCATCTATCTAGTCCCCTGTACAGAATGCCGTTTTCGCAACACACATGCTTCGCTGCAGATGACGTAGCTGCACCACAGAGGCGACCCAGGGAGGGAAGTTGTTGGGGGCAACCAGGTCATTAAAACGCAAACTGGAACAGTCCTTCGGCGTGGGTATTCCGACTCCTGATACCACCCCTGCCAAGAGGCAAGGGCTGGAAAAGTTAGAAAGGTGTATTGTTCGTGCGCATTTAGGTATCGGACTGACAGAGCGATGACCGTAAAGTAAACAAAGATGCAGATGTAAAGTGAACTACAGAATGCAAATAACAGTAGTTTCTCAGAGCGTAAAAAAGTTGAGATTAGTTTGAGTTGTTGACTGATATAACGTGACGTGAAAAACAGACTTATGGAGCTGTTTTTTAAGTTATGATACTAAAATTAAAGCATTATTTTTATTGGGTGTTTTATGATTATGATTATTGCGGTTTTAGGGCGCGTCGACTTCTAGGGTCATTTTGCGCCCATAAGAGCTAAGTGTTTACCGTGGTGTGTAAATGGCTGTGAATCCTATGTTTCTCAAAAATGAAAACAGCTGTCCGGTGTCAAGCATGCGGGAATCGTCACCAATAAGGTCTGAAAATGTAAGACCTGACGCATCTCGTCCGAAGTAAAGTGCCTGGTCTTCTCTGAACTATGGGCAAGAGTAAATAACGTGGCGAACCGTAAGTGGCGCATCACAGCGAGGACATTTAGAACGGTCTTCGGCGCACAAAAGGTAGCTATGTGTTGCGTGCTTGTGGCCAATTCGTAATCTGCTGAGGGTTACTTCTTCGCGTCTCAACGTACGTGAGCTTGAAGACCATGCACCCAGTTGTGGCTTGATCATCTTCAACTTATTGTTGACAATGGCGTCTCAGCAGCGTTGCCATCTCCCCTTCACAGAGGTCGCGATTGCAGGGTAAAAGTCCCTTGCCGGCAAGGGTAAAGAACGGGTGCAAGGTGCACGCGCTCCCCGTTTTGCGGCCCCGTCAGCACGCTCGTTACCTGCGATACCCACATAACTCAGTATCCAACATAAGACGACAGTTTTACCAGCAAGATCCAGCGCTGTCAGGCGAGCTAAAATATCCTGTATAATGGGACAAGGTGGGTTAAAGGTTGTCAGAGCCAACAGGCTGCTCAAAGAATCGGATAAGACCACGTGTGAGTTGCTCTCACCAACTTCGATGAAGCATGGGGCTTTACTGATTGCAACGAGCTCGGACGTGTAAACTGAGACGTGTTTCGGTAAAGAAAAGGACCGGGTGGCTTGGTCATTCACAAATGCAGCACCAACGCCTACCTCCGTCTTGGACCCATCAGTATATGTGGCTTGAAAACCTATGTATGACCCGATGTGCTCCAGAGCCTTCGATCTCAGGTCGCATGGGATCGCTCCCTGTTTGCTGGTGCATGAAAGGGATACATCCACTTTTGGTGAGATAAGCTCCCATGGAGACACTAATACGGGACGCGACCTTTGCTCACCACGCAAAGTTATGTCGCTTCCCCGGAACAGCTTCTTCATATGGACACCAAATGGAGTAGCGGATGGCCTCCCGCTACTTTGGAACTTGCTTTCCACATCACGTGAAAAGATTGCTCGGTGAGTCGGATGGTTGGGAAATTGAGCCAGCTTGCAAAAGTACCGCATGCCAAGCATTTCCCTTCTCAGTGCCGACGCCGGTTCATTAACTCCCACTGTAAGGCTAGCAGCTGGCGACGTCCTGAATGCCCCCGTCACAATGCGTATTGCCGTATGGTGCGCGGTGTCCAATAAACGTTTGGAGGAGCTCGGCGCGCGGTCATAAATAAAACAGCCATAGTCAAGTTTCGAACGTATAGGTGAACGGTATGGCAGTAACAGTGTTCTTCTGTCCGCTCCATAAGATGTTCGAGACACATACTTCAATATGTTCAATGCGTTAAGCAGTTGTCACGTAGGGTTTTCAAATGTGACCCATACGATAAACGGTTATCAAATTGCAGACCCAAGAAGCGGGCACTGGATTCGTTCGGGATGGTCTGGCCGTATAGCCTTAAAGCCATAGCGGGGCATTGACGTCTGCAAAAGTGCATAGCGACTGTTTTCTAGGTCGAGAAACGTAGTCCGTTTATAACACTCCATCCTTCCAGGCTGATCACAGCACAATGCAAGCGACGCTCCAAAGAGGCAAAATTTGACGAGGCATACCAGATGGCGACGTCATCCACGAAGTGAGAGCGGCTGACCGACTTTGGAAGGAAGCCACCAATATCGTTAATCATCACCGCGACAAAGCGACGCTCAGAACACTGCCCTGGGGCACGCCATTATCTTGTTGGTACCAATCCGAGAAGTGTGAGCCAACACGAACTCTGAAAGAACGATCGGTCATAAAGTTCGCTAGGAACGTGCCCATGGCTCCTCGAATGCCACAATGAAAGAGCTTTTTGAGGATGCCGTAACGCCACGTCCCATCATAGGCTTTTCAACATAAAAAACACAGCGACAACATGTCGTTTTTCCCTAAAACTGGTGCGAATGTTTGTGTGGAGAGCTATTAGATGGTCAATGGTACTGCGATTTTTCCTGAATCCACATTAAGCAGCCGCAAAAACGTTGTACCGCTCCAAAACCAAGACAAACGCACATTCATCATACGTTCCATCAACTTACAAACGCATGATGTCAGTGAGATAGGGCGATAGTCGGCAGGGTCAGCCCCACTCTTACCAGGCTTGAGCATAGGGACAATATGTGACACACGCCACGACTCCGGAAAACCTCTGCTCCGCTGCTCCGTTCTGGTGACGCAACCAGATGGGGTAGTGATCACTACCAAAGGAGTCGTTGTCAACCGACCATGTCAGGTGTGCCGCCAGTTGGGGGCTGGCAAAACTCAAGTCCAGCGCCGATGTCTGACCTGACGGCAGCGTCATGTGAGTTCGGGTCCCGGTGTTTAAAATATAGAGATTCATCATGTAAAAAAGTTTCGCAATGCCTGCCGCGAGTGTTGGTCTGGGCGCAACCCCAAGATGTGTGATGAGCATTGAAGTCACCTAGCGAAAGAAGACGCGGGGGAAGCTCGGCCACCAGAAATCTAATTTCTGCCGTCGGAAAAGGAGCATCAGGAGGTAAGTAAGGCGAGCAGACGGTTATTGCACGGCGCCCAAAGACTACTTTTGCTGCAACAGCATGCAGGTCCGAGTGTAAGACCACGCGTTGGACGGAGACACTGTGGTGCAAAGCCAAAAGAACTCCGCCGTGCGCAATTGGATCAGCTGGCATATCCCGACGCATTACAGTGTAGCTCTAAATAGCTCTATGATACTAAAATGAGAGCCAGGTGCCAGTTTGGTCTCCTGCAGGCAGGCGATGGCCGGACGGCGCTGATTCAGAATGACTCTGAGATCGTGTAGACTAGTTCTCACGCCCCTGCAGTTCCACTGTAAGATACTTGTCATAAAAATAAGAAGTGAGGGTAGCCATTACACGCCTAGCTCACCAGTACAACGCGCAGAATATCACAGTCAATACGCCTGCCAGAGGGCGCACTAAAAAAGGGTCAAAGTCACACTTTAAAACGCGACACGGTTCAAAAGAACAGCAGTTCCGCTGTAAAAACGTCTGTAAAAAGCCGTGCAAGAAAAGATGCAATATCTCACACTTAAAAGATGAGATTTAAAAGAACTGCGCCGTTCCAGATGAAGCGCCAGATATCTCAGTCCTGGAACCCAGTTCCACAGATCGGTGCCCCAGCCTGGGGCGAGACCTTGGGCTACCCCTGTCACTTGGGGACAAGGGCCCAGACGGGACACGCTTGGAGCCAGCATGTCCCGTATGTGGTGGTGGCGGAGGAGGGGCCATCACTGAGCCCCTGCCCACCACCTGGTGCCGTGGTGGAGCCTCAACCGGTCTACGTGGTGAGGGAGTATTGCTCCGGGGAGCAGGCTCCTTGCCCGCTCCTGACAGCCTGTTGGCTGCTTCGGCCCGCTCCTGCTCAGCCAGACGCGCCCTTTTAGCCTCACGGGCGCGCCTGTCTGCCTCGTGGCGCTCTAGGGTTTCAAGCGCTCTTCCAGCAGTGCTCGCAACGCGTGTCACTGGAGACGACGGCAACTGGGTGCTGGATGGTGAGGCCGGCGAAGTCCGCAGGCCCCGGCCACGCTGAACGACCGTCCATCCCTCTCCCTCCGCCGGCGCATCAGATGATGCCGCGGAGGCTGGCACCACGGCGGGCACCGGGCTCTCCAGCACCGGGGAGGGGTGAGGCGGCGAGGCAACAACTGGCGAGCTGGGCTGTGCCTCAGAAGGGGCGCGGGGTGCCAACGGCACGGGGGACGATGA